CCAAGCTGGTCTTGAACTCCTGACCTCAGGTGACTCACCTGCCTTGGCTTTCCATAGTACTGAGATTACAGGCATGAGCCACTGCACCTGGCCAAGAAAAGAAGAGACATTTAATGTGAATAACAAACAGAAGCAACATTTCTGGTGGCCGAGAGATGGTTGATACCTGTACTTGCCCCCTAGAAAGTAGTCTTTATATAGCAAGCTGCTTTTGGTAAAACAGACAGTGGGTCATGTCTCAGACCCTCCTGCAAAACTTGTGACCACGGGGAAGTTAGATAAGTGTCTTTGTAAGGGCTTATCTATGCAACAGGCATTGTTTCTTGGCCTGACTGCGGGAGCACCTTGGTATTCAGGAGTCAAACATCTGTGCTGATGCTGCTGTCACTTCAGGTGGCATTACTCTTGCCTTGCAACAGGCTGTTTTCTTATACTCTTTCCTCCACAACCCCCCAAGAATTGTCTTTTTATCAACTTACATATTAATGGTTTTTCCCATTGGTTTGTTTCCCATTATAACTTTGCTGTTTCTTTTTCCATTTACAAAAGACTATTCCTCTTGGGCCTCCCCTCGGCAACACGAGAATCTTGCTCTTCCCTCCTCACCCTGCCCTCCTCCCCATCCCTGGCTGACTGCTGTTAGTGCTACTGTTATTTTCACAGCACCCATATTATAATGTTTGCATTCTGTTTTGTAAATTAACTAGGCCTTTGGTGCTCTGCCAGAAGTTGATTCTAAAAATGACAAACCAAGAAACAATATTTACAGTATTTTAATTATATAAATATTAGTCACTGCAGAGCTAAGTAGTGTGATTGGAGAAATAAATATAATTCACTGGCACTAAATCTATCCCTCCACAGAGAAAGTTCCAAGCATCAAAGTCACATGGATTCATTTCTCTTATGCTCCAGTATATACTCAAAATCATGTCACATTCCAGTTTTCAGTCTCACCAATAATCTTCCAGAACTCTTGTTCTCTGCACCCTTTTGGGGTCAGCCTACTGTTGTTTCACGGAAGCAATGTGCTCACATGGAGCTCTGAGATGTCCACATCTTCAATCCTCTCTCCTTTCCCTGGGAACCAACATTGGTTTGCTTATCTTGGTTCTTCTCTTTGAAGCTGTTAGTTTTCCTAAAGGTTATCTTAAGGAAAGCTTCAGTTCTTTAAATTCTAGGAGTATTCAAAATAATATGGTAAATCCATTAGGCAGAACTGTTTTCTCCTTTCTCCCTGTGTATTGATACGATTGATCATTTTAACAGCCTGGAAAGCTAAGAGTGACGCCAACGGCCTCAGCTGCACTGAGAGTGAGGTGAATCGCTCCAGGTGAGTTCTGGGCCCAAACACACACTGGCTTGAGTGGTCCTGGGCTTGGTGTTTCCAGCAAAGGCTCTTAGAACTCTATTTCAGCCTCAGTCAGTATTTGGTGATCCAGCGGGTGTTTTTCAAGCCAGGCTGTCAGCTTGAAGGGTTCTCCCTTGGGGCAAAGCCCTTTTAGCATCTCAATCCAGGTGATGAGTTCCCTTTAAAATGCTGAACAGGACCTGGTACAGTGGCTCACACCTGTAATCCCAGCACTTTGGGAGGCTGAGACGGGCGGATCGTTTGAGGTCAGGAATTCGAGATCCCTAGCCAACATGATGAACCGCTGTCTCCACTAAAAATACAAAAATTATCTGGGCGTGGTGGTGTCTGCCTCCTCAGGAGGCTGAGGCAGGAGAATCACTTGAACCCTGGAGGTGGAGGTTGCAGTGAGCCGAGATCGCGCCACTGCACCCAGCCTTGGTGACAAAGCGAGACTCTGTCTCTAAAAATAAATAAATAAATAAAATGCTGAACAGGTTAGCCCCTTGACCTTCTAATGTGGGGAAAGCTGAGTTCCAGGGGCTGAGCACAATGCACAGAAATAAACGATGTGAGTCATTGGTTCCAGGAACTCAATATTCTCAGTGAGGGACCCTCTAGAGCAGCAAGTGCCAGTGGAAGCATCTCTAAATTAGTTGGTTCTCTTCGTAAATCCAAAAGACAAATTAAATAAATGAACTGTCTGAGGCCAATTGATATATAGTTCACATTTCCTCTGCAAAGGCTTGGCTATAGATTTAGTCATGCATTTCTAAAGCCACATGATTTAGTGCTGAGGTCTTCTTGGGCCTTTCATAACTGCCATGATTATGAAGGCCTTGGAAAGTGTAAAAGGTGTTTTCCATGATATTTACTATGTCCTCTGTACAAAATGCACAAATCTGTTGTCAAGAATGTTACTAAAAACAGAAAGGAAAGGGCATGTTGTTCCTTATTCCCCCTCCTCCACCCAAGGCACTACTTAAATATCATCTGCAAATTGTTAACTGTTCAGCTTGCGCTTTTATGACAGGGTTAGGCCTGGGGAACGGAAAACAGCTCCCAGTGCTGATACAGGGACACACCTGGCTGGCAACTTTGTTTTCGGAATGCTGAAGAGTATAGGCATTCATTCCTTCATGCAGTAATAGGGTACAATGGGCATTCTCTGACTTTTATATGACACTTGTGATAGTTTTATGTTTCAACTTGACAGAGTCACTGGTTGCCCACATAGCTGGTTAAACATTATTTCTGGATTTGTCTGTGTGGGAGTTTCTGGAAGAGATTAGCGTCAGGATTCGAGGGCTGAGTAAAGCAGATTGCCCTCAGCAATACAGGTGGCATCGCCCAATCTATTGAGGATTCAAACCCAATAAAAATGGAGCGGGAGGGAGGGTTTGCCATCTCTGTGTCTGATGCTTGCCATCTGCTCTCAGTGCTCCTGCTTGTCAGGCCTTCAGGCTCAATCTACGCAGGCCTGCCAGATGTTAGGCCTCTGAACTAACCACCAGCTATCCTGAGTGTCCAGCTCACAGATGGCAGATTATGGGACTTCTCAGCCTCCACACTCAAGTGAACCAATACCTTATGATAAATCTCTTCATATGCAGTCTTGCATTGCTTAACAATGAGGCTACATGCTGAAACATACATTGTTAGGCAAATAGTCATTGTGTGGACATGATAGAATGAACTTACACAAACCTAGATGGTACAGCCCACAACACACCTAGGCTGTATGGTGTAGCTTTTTGCTCCTGGCTGCAAACCTGTACAGCATGATACTGCACTGAATACTCTAAGCAATGTAACACAATGGTAAGCATTTGTGTATGTAAACATAGAAAAGGCACAGTAAGGCTGGGTGTGGTGGCTCACACCTGTAATTCCAGCACTTGAGGTCAGGAGTTTGAGACCAGCCTGGCCAAAATGGGGAAACCCGGTCTCTTCTAAAAATATCAAAATTAGCTGGGTGTGGTGGCACACACCTGTAGTCCCAGCTACTCGGGAGGCTGAGGCAAAAGAATCACTTGAACCCAGGAGGTGGAGGTGGCAGTGAGCCAAGATCACCCCACTACACTCAAGTCTGGAGAACAGAGAGACTCCATTCAAAAAAAAAGAAAAGGAGAGAGAGAGAAAGAAAAGGCACAGAAAAAATATGGTACTATAATTTAATGATACCACTGTTGTATATGTGGTCTTTCACCAAAACATTGTTATATAGTACGTATCTATATATCTATATGCTATCGGTTCTGTTTCTCTGAGAACCTAGACTAATATACCACCCAATGGTGATCTCTAATGTTGCAAGGACAATAACTATCTTGTCTGTCCTCACATATTTTACTGTGAAATGACACTGAGCATTGTCCAGACTGAGAATTTACCAGCTATAATTTCTGCGCCCCCCCACAACTGCCCCGCCAACTTCAGAAACAGATTGGCAAGTCATGATCAACAAAAAGTGTGTCCACTGAGCGAAGCTAGCCACTGTTCAGACATAGGAGTGAGAGTCTAGGGGCAGGAGGGCATCCAGGAGAAATGATGCAATGATTTTCCCTTTAAACACAGAGGCTGGAACAAGGCTGTGGGTTTAATATGACTTGGAATTGCCTCTGTGGTTCTCAGCCAGCTCTGAGAAAGGTAAGCACTCAGATCTGCCTGTTCGAGGCTGGCTTCCAGCTCAGGAGGAAGGCTAGCGGGGTGGAAATTAGAAAGCGCCCCCCCCAACACACACACACACACACACACACACACACGCACACACACACACAAACACACATGTGCACAGCTGACTGTTATTCTCTGGGATTGTATTTCAAGGCCTCTGAAGTCACTGAAGTCTCTGAAACACAGGTGGTCATGGGGCTTTTTTCGATAAGCTTTTCAATCTTCTATCTTCATTAAAACCAAACCACAGTTCTGCAGGGCTGCTCCAAGAGACAGCCCCATGGGGCACAAGTCCATGACAGTTTCCTCCATTACCAGTGAGCAGCCTGCAGGGATGCTGCATGTGACTTGGGGTGGGGCCGGAGGTCAGGCCAGGCACCTGAGCGCTCTTGGAGTCCCAAGTCCTTTCTCATGTCTGGGGTACTCCGCGGGCACCTTGATGCTGATTGAGCAAGGAATCCAGCTTAGTAAATAACAGGCGCAGACATTTTCTGCTTGATTGGAATCGTTAATACTCGGTTCCGGGAACCCGACAAGTTCTGCTCCGCTTGGCACCTAGCACAGTCCCAGATGGTAAATCTTCCCTGTCACTACCATTGTAACTCCCCAGAGGGATCCTGGAATTGCTCCAGGAGGCCTCGTGCCAACTGCTAAGTCCCAACGTCCCCTCCTCGTCACCTCACCAGAGCAGTTCACAGTCCAAGAGCTCGATGCTTCCATGAAGAGGCAGATCGAAACCTTGTTACATGTAGCCAAACTATACATGAGTGGACAATACAAAAATGATGACAGATTTGATCTCAGTGGGTGAGAGGCAGCAGCTGCGTGTTTACTTGAGGTGGGTCTAGGAAAGCTACATGGCATGGTCTTTTGAGACCTGTTTAAAATGTGGGCAGAAAAGGGGAGGCTGACGTGGAAGGAGGAAATGGGCACATGTCCCTGGCATCCCGCTTCCCTGAGAACACAGTGCACAGCATCCGGGAGAGACTGGCCAGGACTCAGTGATCAGACACCTCACTACCAGTGACAGTTGGACTTGCATTCCCTGGGGCTGGCTCACAAGCCTCAGAGCTCATAGCACAACATATTCTTCTGACATGTGCTCATTGAGCACCCACCATGAGCCAGGCACTGGGTAAGCACTGAGGAAACACGGGGAGAGTGACATGTCCCCACCCCCAGCGGGCTCTCAGCTCACTGGGCAGAGGAGTTGGGCAAGTCCTGGGGCAGACACAGAACATCCCTCCCGTGCAGGGAACACAGCAGTCACTGCCACCAGAGGACCTGCTGGAGCAGGCAGGAGAAGCCCTGCTGTGGTCTGGATGCTGGTGCCCCCCCAAATTCCTATGTTGAAGCCTAACCCCCGTGTGCTGGTGTTAGGAGGTGGGGCCTTTGAGACCTGATTCGGTCATGAGGGTGGTGCCCTGATGAATTGGATAGGTCCTTATAAGAAGAGGCCCCAGGGAGGCCCTTCACCCATTCCACCATAGGAGGACACAGAAGGCACCATCTATGAACCAGAAATCGGGCCCTCACCAGACACTGAATCTGCCCCTTGATCTTGAACTTTCCAACCTCCAGAACTGTGAAAAATAAGCATGTTGTTTATAAGCCACCCAGTCTATGGTATTTTGGTATTGCAGTCCAAACCAATTAAGGCAGGCATCCACCATCTTGCAGGAAGTGGATGAATGGGTGGGGCAGGGGAGAGTGGAGGAAGGGAGCCAGCACTGAGACCCAAACCAAGAGCAAGGGGGAGCTGAGGGGGGCAGGCATTATGGAAAACCATGCTTAGGCATTTAGAACTTGTTCTAAAATCCATGAGAACTTGCTGAAAATTTTTGTTTTCATCTACGTGACATTACTACTGTCTCTATGCTAACAACTCCTGCCTTTCCTTCCTCCCTCTGTTGCAGACCTCTGTTCTGAATGCCATGTGCCTCCCTTGGTCCCCAGAAGTCCACTAGGCACCTGTACACCTAGACACCTCCCCTGCACACAGATCTGCCTTCCTATGACAGTCCTGTGAAACTGTCATATCATAAGAGATATATTTGATTCTCTACCCTGGTTCTGGCACGAGAACTCTAAAAGGCTTGGGATTTCCTAAGAGATAGGGGTGAGAGAAATGTCTTTTGTTATTCAAGGTGAGCCCCTTCTAATCATACCCGAGATTATAGTGGGCTCCTAGAGACCCTCAGATGGGAATGGTTGCCCCAGGAACCAATCCTGTGACTACAGGGTTAGCACTTTCAGCTCCCCCATCTCCCCTCCAAGGTGATGAGAAGAATTGGAGATTGAGGTACACACCAATGCCCAGGGATTTAATCTACTGTGTCTATGGGATGTGACCTGTGCAAAGCCCCTCAGGGACAGGGCAAGAGAGCTTCTGGGCTGGTGAGCACAGGGAGATGCTGGGATGGTGGTGCGTCCAGAGACAGCCTGGACACTCCACAGCAGCCACTCCAATGCCTTACCCAGGGCAGTCCTTTCATCTGCTGTCCCTGAGTAGCAGGGACGGTAAGTGTAAGTAAAGTGTTTCCCTGAGTTCTGTGAGCTGTTCTAGCAGGTGATGAAACCTGAGGGGGGGTCTTGTGGGAACCACCAGTTTATAGTCCATTGGTCAGGTGTGTAGGAGGCCCAGGCCTTGCGACTGGCCTCTGAAGTGGGGACAGCCTTGTGGGACGGAGCTCTTAACCTGGAAGACCTGACGCTGATGGATAGTGTCAAAACGGAATTGAATTGTAGGACATCCAGTTAGTGTCAGGAGGGTTGGAGACCTGGTTAGTGTGAGGTAAAAACCCACACACTTGGTGTCAGAAATTAGAGCAGACATGGTTCAAAGTCCCTGTTTCAGTGAATGGTCCTTCTCCCCCTGGATGCCTGTGCCAGGCATGCAGGAGTCATCACCCACCCTCCACATCCAGTGCGTGCTCTCGTCTGTGGTTTCCACTCCACAAGCCACCACTAATGCATTCAGGTCTGTGCGTCTCTGCTCTCGCCAGCCCAGCCCCAGCTCGGCCTCCCTGAGCCACTGCGGCAGTCTCCCAGAAGCTCAAAAACGGTGCTTAAGACTTGCATTTTAGAAAGATGGGTTTTGGATAAGTGTGGAGGATGGACTGGGGGCCATTGAGAAGGGGACAAGGGATAATGTCCGTGTCTCATTCCTTCATTTGTTCGCTGAAGCCATGATGCTCCGTGAGTACCTGCTGTGGGCCAAAGCCTGGAAGAGGGCTGGGCTGGGACAGAGAGCCGGGCATCGTCTACAGAGAGAAGAGGATCATGGGTGGGGGAAGGTGGTGATGGCTGAAGTTGCCCAGAGAGAGTGCAAAGGGAGCCCAGGCTGAGGCCAGATGACCTAAGGGGCAGAATGAGGAGAGGAACCGAGGAAGGACAGAGGAGGGGCAGAAGCCAGGCTCTGCAGGGCTGTGGAAGCTGGAGGAGTAGGTGGTCCCAGAGTCCCATGCCCCTGGGGATCCAGCAAGATAAGAGGTAAATCAGCAACAAGGAGGTGGGAGAGGTTCCTTGGCATGTGGGGCAGAAGCCAGACTGTGGTGATTGAGAGCTGCGTGGGAGGTGGAAAAGTGACTGCAAAGCATGATCACAGGCGAGAGAGCTGATTGTGAAATCTGCAGGAATTTTCTGAGCCAGGTACCAAACACAGCCAGTGTTAAAAATTAAATGATGAAAACTTACAGTTAAATAGATTACATTAGAAACAAAGCAATAAATACTGAAAACTCATCTCTCCTAGTAAGCTACCTTCTACCAATAGCCATTCCCCTGAGATAATGTCCATCCATTGTGCCCCTGTGGTGGGAATGCTGTATAATCACTCCCGTCCATGCATCTCTTCCAGCTCTGCGTGTAGTGTTCTCTCATTGGTGGCTTCAAATTGGCTGTGATGGGAGTATTTGCACCACGGAAACCGACAACTCCTCAGATCAGACCTTTTTATTCCCAGAGGGCCAGTTGTGAAACGTTTACCAGCACCACTGGAGGAGTGAGATCAGAGCACTTTCTTCCAAGCAGTGGCACATTAGCAAATGGAAGGGACAAAAAGACAGCAGCAATGTACAGGTTTGCGGGCTTCGTGGCAGGGAAGTGAGCGCGTTGCCTCTGATGACTTCCATTTCTCTCTGTTGGGCTGGGGTGAGGTCAACTGCCCTGTGTGTGGGAGCCAGAGAAGAAAGCAGCACAGAACAGACGCAAACCAAGAAGGCTGGAAGATAAGAGCAGAGCCATCCGGACCCGAGCCCCTCGGGGGTATGAAACAGGAGTCGTGGGAGCAAATTAGTACGCGCACTGCATGGAGGGGCAGAAGGGGCAGGGAGGAGCATCCGAATGTAAGATGTCAGAGAAGCTCATTTTGTCAGCCTCAGAGCTTCCCGTGTGCAGCACGGATCTAAAGCTGGTGAATGCAGGGAGGTGAACAAGAACCATCTTCGCTTCCTGCATGCCGATGGCGGAAATGAGACATCGGCAAAGAAACATCAGGATCCCCCAATTATGGCGAACGCCATGGAGGAAACAAAGGACACTGTGACACCAAGGAAGGAAGAGAGGTTACTTTTCATAATGGGGTGGCTGTAAACAGAATTGAAGGCTGAAAAGAGCGATGAAATGGCTTGTTTGAAGGTGAATAAGAGTATATAATAAAAAATAATTCTCAGGCCGGGCGTGGTGGCTCAAGCCTGTAATCCCAGCACTTTGGGAGGCCGAGGCGGGTGGATCACGAGGTCAAGAGATCGAGACCATCCTGGTCAACAAGGTGAAACCTCGTCTCTACTAAAAATACAAAAATTAGCTGGGCATGATGGTGCATGCCTGTAGTCCCAGCTACTCGGGAGGCTGAGGCCGGAGAATTGCTTGAACCCAGGAGGCGGAGGTTGCAGTGAGCCGAGATCGTGCCATTGCACTCCAGCCT